GCGATCACATTTTGATGCCATAAAAGCCAAGTTTGTACAGATGCTAGGTTTTGTCATTTTATCGAGACTGGGCCGAGGGCAATTTAACTCTTATCTGTTAACAGGAAAAGGGACTAGAACAAGAAGAAGAAGGCCTAGACAAAAGCCGTTTAAGTGGAGTATCGCTGGAAAAAGTTCCAAACGTAATATTGTGTCAATATGATAAAAAGAGCAAATCTCCAAGACGAGAAAACTAAGTTACCAGTACTCGTGCAATGACAGACGTAGATTACGAAAGCCTTGAAAGATTTCCCCCTCGAACTCGTGCGCCAACCTCGATAAAATGTGATCCACTATAAGCGGCCCATCAGCAGGGTAATTATTTCCCACTCCCTTAGTCGTGCACTTCCAATCGCATTACCTGGTATCGACTCCGGGTCGCTGATTGCCAGATTTTTTGAGATGTGGCCTTTGATGCGCTCAAAAAGGATTAAAGGGCTTTACTTCCAGGATGAGTACTCAACCTCAAACGTCTATACATCAAGAATCAGCCTTTTCCAGTTCAGATTGTCGAGGCCCAGTGACGCCACACCTGATGTTCGTGGAAGTGCCTGGATAGTGTGAATGAATTTCGTAACCTAACGGTTCGCGGATTTTCAATCATTTTGTTTATTTTATGTGGAGGTTTACCCAGCAGCTAAGAACCGACCGGAACTTGCACAAGTCGCACTGATCTTTCTTTGTTTACAGGAAGCTACAAACCATGACGTTGACGAATACTTGGCTATAAATCAAGACTTTTGGAAAAAACCTACTGTGATGTTGCGTATTCACGGCTGGGCGGAAAATCTCTTTTCGGTTTTTGAAGACGCAGTGATTGTGTGTTTTATGCGGTTCATACAAGCGAAAATTGTCAAAGTGGCGTCAAAATCGTGTAAGCGACCGCGCCCATTTCCGATTCTAGACTGCAGGTTACCCGAAATAGACCAGAGATCAGGGTTACACATTTAATGCACAAATGCCATCCGTATGCAGCATAGATTGTTCCGAGTGGAACAGCAGTTGATTTCGTTGATGTCACTTAATACTTCCGAACTTTTCAAAGCTTGAGTTGTAATCAGACCCCTTCGTCGTCCAGGATCAGCTCTAAATGTTTGAAATTCACTGAGATTACTTAACATGGAAACGGTTATGCCAACAGGAAGAAACGGGTAACCCTATAATCTGTGGAGCCATTCGACTGGGTACAAGAACAGCTAAAAACGCCTGCCATATCCCATCTTTGATGATGAGCCAGCTAAAAATCTTTTCAGAGTAGAATGAGAGTCTTAGGGAACACAAGTAGGAGAGTGTTGAATTAAAAAGGTGGGTTTAGTGGCCTAAATGCTACTGATTGGAGACAGAGTAGACTTCATTCTGGATACAACAAATGGATCAAAGGACCAGCAAGTATTCATGCCAAGCGTTTCAGAAATGCTAAGTCAAGGACCATCATCTGAATGTATATGCATATATATATATATATATGCACATATATACGCACTACTGCAGCATATTTTGCTGGTAAATCTCTTATTGTGACTCCTATATGCGCATTTCATTGGCGTGTAGTTAAATCTGGCTCTAATAAGCGGGCGAGTAGGAAGGTTGCACACGAGAGATAAAACTGACACCAGGACGCCGCGATATCACATGGTCTTTGGATGTGATAGATTATATTGTATAACCTTGTCAGATCGAATCCGAATGTGACTGACAGGTAGTCCTAGGGTGGCGAGTGGTCTATTATCGCGCTCTCGAGAACAGAGAACTGTCGAAATGCATGTGCATAGGTCTGCTAACAAAGCCAAGACGGAGTAATCTAATTAGACCAGACGACTGAGGCCCTTAATTGATAAGTTCTGGTAAGTCCAAAGGAACTTTCAGAGTTGATGGGTTTTCAAGCCAACCAGGGTCTGGACCAGGACAAGTTACACCATCACGGTTTTGTGCAACTCTCACCTGAAAGTTGGATTTGGAATGCCTGAACTATCGCATCAAAGTGGTGAAAATGGCAAACCTAAGGCCAACATGTCCACTGCTGTGAGGATGAACTTGTAATTGCACAGCATAGTAGTCATATTTAGTTGTTTGTCTGTATATTCAATATTCATGAGAAGATCCAGACTCGTGAACTCTGGAAAGAATTTTGTAATTCTCACTTCACTGAATGTGAAAGTATTGCTGACCTGAAACTTCGAAGTATAAAATGTCAGCCCTTTTGACCTGTGTAACAAAAGGACACGCAGTCACCTACCTATGGTAACATGTGTAAATTCCTCAGTCTTGCCCCCTTAGGATTTAAAGACAAAGGGTTATTTGCAATCTGGTTCACCTTTGAGCTGAAGTTCGTTTCAAAGTTCACTTGAAAGTAAGAGCGAAACAGTGAAGATCAGATTTTTACACAAACTGAAAAAGTATTGGGGTAGCACATGATTTTGCATGAAATGATTTAATTTGCTCTGGGAAAAGGTGGTGCTATTCCATGATCTTTTCGTCAGCGCAAGGAACCGTCCGTTAGCGGTGTAGACATATCAACGTATGGTAGCAAAATCCTTATTTATCAATATGTCTCCAAATCTTGACCTCGGATCCTGTTAGTTCAGTGCCCATCAAAGAACTTTCGTTATCTAGATAAGCCAATACTAACACCAAACTCCAAGCGACATCCAACTTTGCGAATTTTCGGCTAGCAGATGATCACTACATCATTCGATGTTGCAGACAAACTGCATTTGAATAAAACAAATCGTCACCATCCACCAATCACTTTAGGTGATTCGGTGTCAGCTGATTAATCAAATTCTGATTGGAAAGCCCAGGTGACATCCAAGCTGTTTGGCTTTTCCCGTCAGCACACACTGTTGAGAATACCTTCTCACATATTCGCTCATACGCTTAAGCTGTGCATATGTTGCGTTCTTGCGATTTTGAGTACAGCGGACAGCGTAGCCTTGGATGCTGGGTTTTCGGAGGCATAATTGAGGTAACAAGATCAATTTATCCCAAGGTATGTTAACGACTAACTGGGGTCTCGCCAGGGGTGCGCCTTGCCGCTTCAGATTTCATCTGGGAGTGAGACGTACGTGGGCTCGCGCCGTGGGTGTTTATCAGACTTTAAACTCCACCGTCTTTTTTCGTCACGATTGGGAAGGGAAACCTTTTTATAGTTCCGGTATGGTTGCAAGCATCTCAAAAAATCAACTTTCAGACGATTATTTTAATCCTGCGAGTATTCTTTTGGCATGCTCCAAAAACATGCCAGTCGACCGAGCCAGATCTCGTTAAAATCCTCAGGATAGTAACAATTAATATCACGCAACAATTGGTTGAGCATGAACCGGTTCACAACAGGATTATCCAGAAACGAAATTCCAGTCCTGTAGCCACTACCTCAACTTGAGATTGTGCACACCGATGAAAAGTCCGGCGGATCACACGAAACCCTCCAGCGGTGAATCCAGCATGATGCATATTAGCCAACCGAGCTGACCTTCGGGATGAACCACAGCCTGGTAGTTTAGGTTTACACAAGCGTAATCGAAAATAACTGGTTTGATATGCAGCAAAGGTATTTCAGCCAAGGATGTGTGGCCTGTCCCACAGGATATTTTCCTCTCATCAACACAAACTGGTACACCAGATCGCCGGTTATCGGGTCGGAGGTAAGTTTTTCTCTCCTGTCCGGTGACAAAAACAGCAATTCGACAAGTTTTCAGGTTTTCAATTTTGCCCAACAGTGAAAAAAACCGTTCAAAGCACTGACATTGGTCAGTCTTATCATGAGCTCGCTGCATGCGTCGCAGTATTTGGACACCAGAAACTCGAGGTCGCTGGTGGCTAGCAAGATTCAATTCGAACTTGGGTGGCACATGCCCTCGGGAGTGTCAAAATTTCCCATGTTTAGGCAGGTTGCATTTCTAACATTTGCAACTGTTGACAAACGATTTTTCTTTAAACAAAATCGTTTATTTAGATGGAAATTTCTAGGTTAAGCGTATAGGTTTTTACCAACGTAACATTGTTTTTGTTTGTAATAGAGGACTTTAGTCTGGAGCAAAATGATCACAGTCACAAGAAACAGAAAAACGCTTGACACGACAGTCAGGTCTAACATTTCGGCATTTGACTTCATTGCAATAGTAATCAGAATGCAGTTGCAGGATGAACAAATGGGCGAAAACAGGAACCAATAAAGACCCAGAAACATTTCAAAATCCTATGTAGCATGCATTATTGACAGATCTTGTTTTTCAGTGATTGTGCGCTTATCTTCAAACAAAGTACCAGGAAGATTCGGAAGCCTAGAATTCACAGTCAGAAAATGTTTCCCGCGGAAGACAATAGTTGACAATTTATGCCAAGTGGGTATTTCCGAAATCGAAAAACTGTGCGCGGTGAAAAATATCAATTTGAGTTTGACTTCCGTTTTGTAAATAAGCATGCTATTTGACTGACAGCATAAAACGGAATGAAGCTTTGTCATCCAATCTGACCGGTTACTGAACTAAGACACACAAGAACCCCTATACTTAGTCAAAAATTTTCAAAGGCCCTTGTGGTTTTATGGATCATCGGTTTTTCCAAGATACAATTACACACTGTTCAAACATGTCCGCTCTCAATAAATCAGGTCATAAATGACCTGGCGAAGTGAAATTACGTTTATTCTGGTTAGTGAGTATACGCTTACAAAGCGTTTCGAACAAACTAGGTCATCAATTTATTCTCAGATATTGAATGCCAAAGGGCATCTGTCAAATCTGGACGACAGACATTCACTAGAGGAAACTACGCTGTATTCCAGTAACGATGTACAGTTTTACAACTTTGTCTGCATTCTGACAGGCACCTCAAGGGGTGAATCCATCACGTATGACGGAACTTTGTTACATTAACAACCTTAATCCTCCGTTCGTTTCAAAAATTCTTGGGTTGCACTGCACACCCAAACACTACGAAATATTCATCTGAAGACTCACCGACTACAAATCTGTAGATGGAGAAAACTTCCTATTGTCCGCTACAAAATGGGATTTCGTGTAGCACATGTATATCCACTCAGTGCTCTGAGGTTCGGGTCACACGCGTTGTGATAGCATGCTTTTCACAAATGACCTGATTAATCGCCACATATTTTCTTGTAGCACTGGTAGCCAATCCCTGACTGGCGGGTTTTGCGTTCCATGGAACTGACCAATCAGAAAACGAGCGCACCGCCCATTCCATTGGTCGAAAAGGATTCTTGAGGTGTACGTGAATTGAGGCCATGAGCAGTCACCGAACAAAGATTATTGGGCGATGAAATGGCTGCTAGAGTGCCAGCGTGACGAAAGCTTTGTACAAAAAGCTTTGTACCGTACACCATTAGCATTCTTTTTTAACTCCTAAGAAGTGCAGAACAACATTTTGAACATCTGCTACACCGGCGTTTTTTTGCAAAAGCTCAAAAACGGCTGGGCTAGAGATAATGGGATACGTACGTGACCACGTAAATCAACCACGGCCTAACAGCGGACTCTTAATTGGAATTGAATATGTTTTTTTTCACAAAACCGCCTGAATGACGTTTTGAAACGTAGGGCAAATAATCACCGTAAATGCATCTCATGAGGACTTGCTTCACCTAAAACGAATGTCACGACAAGCATCACTTTGATAAAGCAGCATCCACAATAACTTCATGGGATTATTTTTTTTCTATAACCATGAAAGAGGGTGCGACTTATTTGAGTCTTGTCTGGTCAGCCAGCGGACTATTATTGTTGAGAAGGGGTTGGACACTGGTTAAGTGGAAATTTTTGCGGATTAAAAACAGGTGAGCATGTTGCCCAAGCTGATAAGAAAACACGAGCAGTGAAATACATAATTTCTTATGAGCTTCGCTTCTGACCGCCGAAGTGGTGTTCTCATACGAAAGACTCGCCTTTTACTGGAATTCAGCACTTTTTGTATAAAAACACTCTGCAAGATGGTCAAGTTTGCTGGCCTAGTTATTTGAGCATTCTTGAAGTTACCTGGTTTGTTCTTTGAAGGTCATTTGAAGAAACAACTTGGGTTTGATTACATGCAGTAAAGTTCGCCTTCACCTCAACGAGTTTCGGATGACTCCACCTCCTTTCCAATTTGTGTGCGTGTGTGGGTGGATTTGTGTGAACTTTCATGGTGGGGCCCTTCAATTATTCTTCTGCTGGTGGCACCTTTTTTTAGTACGCACGGAACACCGTGTGGGGTTGTCGAAAAATTTTCAGTAATCCGAGACTAGTTTTTCCTGTATTGAGTTTGCTTGCTGGGTGTATTTCCCGCGTTTATGTTACACTTGAACCTAAATTGTGTGCTATTCCTTAATTGCACCCATACACAAATTAATTTGGCTCGGTCAAATCCAAACTGTGTCTTTACTTCTTGATATTCTTCGAAGGTCGCCTCTTATTTTGCTTAATACGACACTTGAGATTTCATGGCACATTTTCTTGAGGAGTGATTTTAGCAACCGTGGAGTAGTATCTGGCATGAAAATAACTGTTGGCACCTCGAATATCGTACGAACTGAAACATGAGATGATGTTTATGGAAAGTTTTCATGTGGGAGATAGCACGAAGGATAGTTTTACCTGGGATTCCGTTGAGATTCCCCTTAAAAACCTAGTATGTATTTAGGTTAGTGAGTCTTTTGAGTATAAAATGTTCGTTTACCTTAATCCAAGTTGATCAATTCTGGTTCAATTTCATGGCCACACTATCCGCAATGAGCATAACTTGCACAAATCGGTTTTGGTTCGGTGCCTTTTTTGCAAGGTATTCTCTCCGAATTATTCACCAATACATAGTGGACGAGGGAATCATTACCCCCTATTGAGATTTTGCATAGTGATGGTTATTACCAAACTGTCAAGGGCAGATCCCAAGACGATGCATCTGTTCCGCTCGGAGTAGTATCAACACTCTTATGAGGACAAACAACTGTTCCCCACGGAAAGATCTTCTCACGGGGCACAAAATGAGCCACAGGCGTTTAGCTATAAAAGGCCAGTGTAACAAGTAATATCTTTCTCCATGCGGAACTTTAGTGCACACTGCGTACTTGTCGCATCCAGAGCATATTTTCCGCCACTTTGGCATACCGGAACATGTTATGAATGCGTAAGACTTTTGGGGAGAGAGAAAACGAAGTTAAGCAACCTTAGCTAAGCCAAATTTTATCGAAAATAGATCCTCTAACTTGGTAATGGTATTTCAATGTTCAGTGTAGTGTGTCCTATAAGCAAACAACTGAATCCGCGCAGAAAAACGTCAAAGATTTCTGATAAATGTCAGGCCACTTGGGTGAGGCAATGTTTGTCTTAAGACAACTGAGTATTCTCCAAAGTTAAGGATGGTGCACCACCTGAGAGACGGGTAGAATGGTTCAGATATCTGGTCATTTGGCCTGACTATAAGATTACAATTTGCTGTAATATGCGTGGAAGATAAGAGTCACCTATCTAATACCTTGAGATTGATACAATTTTCCCCAAAACCTTCATCCTACGGGCTTTTTTAACCAAACTTCAGTGTATCAACCCACCGAGAATACCTTGTCTCATTTTTCTCTCCTTTTAAACAGGCAGTGGCAGAAATTTCCACACAGACAGTAGTTCTGTGGTGAGATAATAGCCTTTTCCAGAGGCCGACATGGTTGTCTTTGTAAGCCTATCTGTTTGAAACCAAACTACTGTATTCCGTCTGTTGTTCAAAATTTCTGTGTCATTGTACCACCGAATTCAATATCTTCATGATAAGGTACCTCTCCAAATTTTCTCAGCAATAGTTTGGAAACTGCCGTTGTAGTTTATATGCTTAAAGACAGTTTGCAACACATTAGTCAGTTGTGGAGATTTCGTCCTGTAAGTGAAGCCAATCTATGCTGAAAGCCGAGAAAGCACTGTACAGCTGTTTCATCCTTATTGGGAATCATCAGCAGTGCGCATCTCACGAAACTCCGAAGAGTCTCGAACCCGCGACCTCCCGGCTAGTAGTTTGAACACTTAACCGTTCGGCCATGAGTGGCTGATCAGCAGTGTGATTAACTCGCACTTAGACAGGATATAGCGCCGCTCATCCTTCAGTCACAGGATCCACATCACGCGGTCACACGTGTTGACTGGCTCCTCGAGCAACGACTTCTCAGATAGAAGTTTCGCTCATCGGAGAAAGTTTATTCAGGATAGATTGGTTTCACTTACAGGACGAATCCTTCACAAAAATTCCAAATCTCCTCACACTACCAGCATTAGTCAGTTCTTACGAGGAAATCCATCTGAAAGCAGGAGACTGTTTTGTTTTAACAATGCATTTGTTGGTATCGCCAAGCTTCAGTACCTTTCTCCCAGCGCCTGTTATTTATTTTCGTCAGAGTAGCATTAAACGATTTTATGTTTGTACAGTAAGTGAGTGAGTGCTATAAAGTGACTTGTCCATGAAGAGCGTTAGATAGACGTTTGTGTGGATGTAGCCAACAGAGCGTGGCTGTTTTCATACAAGCGCACATTTGTAATTGATGGTATACTGTTCATCAGTTTGTTGGACATTCTTCGACGGCCCACCCCTGGTTTCACCCTTCTTGGGGCTTGTCAGATGGGCTCAGTCATCTAGCGTCCATCCATTTCATATTATACTTGAACCCAAATTGTACGAAACTTTGCGGAATTCAAACATTTGCAAGCATCTGCTGTTTTGATAAAAAATTCCAAGTTTTCGAGCTGAAGCAGTCTACTAGACTGTTTTGAACTGGTTCTGCAAACCTCCTCCTAATCCACGCACTACAGCCTATTCTCAGTGCCTTAAACTGTCTTTCTGAGTAGCGGAATCCGATTTATACTTGCTTCGCAATGTAATTGCTTGTTGTGCATGGATTACGGGTGTTGCCGTACTCCGGATGATTCATTTGGGGCGCACGTGGGTCTCCCATCAAAAACGTATGAATCCTGTTCACACGAATATTGTTACCGCACCAATACCCGACGCGTTTGCTGCTCACGCGCGATGGCACACAGTAGCCACCACAAAATCTCTCAAGCAACAGAGTGCCAAGCGCGTACAGTACTGATGTACCAAATTCCAGCAAATTCCGCTAAATAAGCCTTACAACTGACGACAAGGTAATCCCTTTTTTCTATGCGCGCAAGCAAACTGGACCTTGCACTCTCAGTCGAATGAATTTGACACTTAGATAAAGTTGTGACCATTGATTAAAACCAGTGATTTTTAGTGTTCAATGGTGGGGGTTGCCTAAGGCTTTTTTACTGTGGCTCGCTCATCCCTAACTTCACCTTTCCTTCGAAAGGTGCTTATTTTATAGCGATGCCTTCTTGTTCACGGTTGGTCCGTTTGGGATCTGCCGCAAATTTAGAGGTGTCGACTTCAGTAACACGGAATCTTGTCAGATTCTAGCAACCTTATACTTTGTTTGGAATAATTGAGCAGGAGCAAAATATGCAGAACAATGGCTTCCGCAATCAGGAAGTGTAGAATTTTATTCCCTCATTTTTTACTGCTGCGAGAGTTTTTAAAAAATACGCCTGAGGAACACACTAACCTTTGCAAAAAATAGGTTAATTCCGTGACGACCGATGTATTGTATGAAAGCTTGAACTTCAGGCTAATGGGAGAGTGTGAATCACAACTAACCTTCAAGTATTTTAACTGAGGTAGACCAACCCCCTATACAAGAGAATGAATATTCATGTTTTCTTTTGTTGAACGGAAAAATATGCTGTCAAATTCCCAGTCGATTACTAATGTTTGCTTGGTCGTATTAGTGGACGGATACGACTACAAACTTGTTCAAAGTTACTAAAAACACGAATCCTGATAAACTGATTTTACGAGTAACCGGCGACAAGGAAATTAGCCTCTGAATATGCAACCTGAATAGGATATTAGTTTGTGGCTGCTAAACACCAGCGCCTCTACATAGAATTTTTGTTAGATTTTACATTAAATGTTTTAAAAATTGTTTTTTGGGAAATCTAGGATAGGTTGTGTCATTAGTATGCTTTCCTTCCTGGATTAACAATTGAGAACTTCTCTGGTAGGGGCATTCAGAGGCAAGTGAACTCACCAGTTAG